CATGTAAATATGTTCCATGGTTTTCAAACCTCATCTGTGTTTGTGTATACTATTTCCAGACGGTATTATGTAGAACAATTAATCAACGTGATAGCTTTTGGCCTGAAATGGCAGTGTGCAATTTGGAGTATATTGTATATGTACTACCAAGGCAAGTAAACTCTACGGCGTCCCTGGGTGTTGTCAAATGCATTGCAGTTATGGGGTGGCAACCTATACATAGCTGAGTCTGGACCAGACAATTCAGCACACAAATTGTCACTGAACTTGACACCCAAACAATTAGATCGTCTCGTACAGACTGCACTGGGAACCTTTTGAACCCAAGGATGCAACATGCCAGGGAGAGTGTTCTGATACAACTCATGATGATCACATACAAATATATCTTTCTACAGATATTTGTTATTACATATTCTCACACTGCGCATCTTACCATAAAACTCTCTGATCCTGCGCTTTTGAAAGGATGGTCTTGATGGTTTTACCGGAAGCTCATTCTATGGAGCTGCGCCAACTCGTCTGTTTCCATTTTGTTTCCATTCACTGTTGTCCGGGCTGTTTTCGCTATCTCGAGCACACTACTCCCTAAACGATTGTCTGTGATCGTCAATGGTAGTATTTTACAGTCAGAGATAGAGAGACAGGTATCATTTGAGACCTTTACGTCCAGCAACAACACCACCGGAAAGCCTGGCATGGCAGTTGATGAGCATGTCAATAGAATGACATTGAATTAATGTTTGACTTAAACATTAGTTCTGTTTCATGAGTGTCGGCTCTGTGTGGAAGGTAAGCTTGAGACGATGAAGGCCTTTGGTGTTGTGAAACCTCACCAGAGTATCCTGGTAAACACACGTAATTCCTTGCACAACAAACTCTGATGGCCATGCCCCTTCAACATATTAGTAGGTCATAATGGGTTCTGAAATTTTGTATAATCTATACGTCAAAAAGAACATCCTGGATGGTTTTAAAAAAATATATACTACGGCAGTTCCAAAGAAATTGTTTGGCGTTTCAATTACAGAGAAAATTATGGGTTCGAGGTTGGTTGAACTGATCCAAACATATTTTCTGCAAAGAATCAGAACAATCAATGTGAGCTTAAAGCTTGGGCAGTCACGAATGTCATTTGTAGTCTTTCTATTAGTGTTATCACAGGCTACCTTTACTCTAATGGTGTAAGCCATACATAACACCTCCATCAACGCCCAATTTCCTGCTAACTTTTGTCATAGAAGTAGAAATAATCTTTTGGTGAACAAGTCTCTGGTCAGTGTTTAAGAAAAACTATTGTTTCTAAACCAGACATCGGATCAGCTGCATGTGTGACATAACTGAATATTCTGGCATGTAATTGTGGAAATACCTGGATTGTTGTTGCTCAGATGTTTCAAAACATAAATATTCCTCCTCTGAATATTTTTCAGTCTGATTTTTTTCACAACAGGAAAGACAAGTCTCTTTATGGATGATCAACTTCTTTATTGTAGAATTGCGGACGCTTCGGTTTTCAAAAAGGATACAACTTGTTGAATGCCTCTCAAACAGTTGGAATTTTTACCATATATGGCTTCTTCCGCAAGCATATAAATGTCAAAATGTTATTACTTTTAAAATGTAACAGTGACTACACCTCTGTGAGAAACCCCTGGCTTTCCCCTGGCATGAATGCTTACAGACATAGCAATATTCCAGCAATATCATGGCGGGGACACTCAAAAATGGCTTCATTACATTGTTCCTATGTGGGAATCGAACCTGTGGCGTATACAGTTTGACGAGGAGCGCCTAACCACTGGCTGATGCCCCCTGTCAATGTGAGAAGTCATGACAGGATAAGGGGATGGGATAATGATTGTGTCAGAGCGTCATCTGTCAAGAGGTACAAAAACAAATAACTTAGCTGAATCATATAAAAGTGTGTGAGTGGAGTGTTACATAACTCCTCAGCTGGCACTCCTGCAGGTATGACGACCGCCTGTAAACAGTCCACAGCTTATGACACCACGACTGTCCACAGATTGTCTACATGGTCCAGCATCTACTGCATCTGTTCTCGACCAGAAGATCTCTGACAATGGCCTCAGTATACCCAAAGATGATAAAGAGGTTTGTTGTTATCCTGCCTGGCGATGGTCAGTTCGGTTTCAGTATAATCAATGGATTACGAAGGGTGTATCTCCTGTGACTGAACATTGATATAATAGGCGTAGTTGTGTTAAGATCACTTTGTAAAAATAAGCCTAGGAATGTCCAAAGTGTAATGAACTGTGACCCAGAGTGTGTGAATAATATCGTGAAAAACAACCCAAAAATATTAAATCTTTTCAGATATTTCAAGTGACATGATCCAGATATTTCTTGAATACTTGTTTTACATCATCTTTCTTGGCCATTTGCCTGGCTGTCTGTCCATGCTTGTCCTGGCTGGCACCAGCACCATGTTGTAGCAGAAGCTCCACACACCCTGCATGCTGCCCGCCACTGGCAATGTGTAGAGCTGTGTGGACAAGAAGTAAATGCATTAACACTGTATTTACAAACATAAAGGGTGGACTAATACACTCAGAGCCTCACATACGCTGAAGGAGTATCACTTGGGGGATATGATATTATGTGTTCTGCATTCAAGCATGAGATTTAAGGGACAGTGACATCAGAGATTCAAGCATGAGGTGCATCACAGGATGTTCAAGATGAACATGATGCAAGAAGAAGAATGCCTCTAACCAGATCTCAGCGATGTATCCAAGAGATGGACATTGGCACCACGTCTCAACAGGCATTGCATGATAGCATCCTGACCCTCCTACAAACAAAGGAATCGAGGTACAATGTTGGTATGGACAAAGCTGGCAACTAACATTATTCAAAGTTTTACATATTTCGCAGTCTAAGTTAACTTGGGCTCAGTGTTATCCATTACACTGCTATACTGAGTCTAACAAATCCTAGCAGAAGGTCACGTCAGCTAACCTTTGATTGACCTATGACTGTCCAGTTAAACGGGGAGGCCAAAACGGATTTAACAAATCAGAAAAATGCCCTACAATTTAGGGGTTCAAAGGGACTTACAAACCGTTTTTGGATTTTCTCCTACCTGGTTGCTGACACTGATCTATCAACAAACTATTACTATTGGTTACTATTACCACAAGATGACATCCTTGAATATTGACAAAAATGATATTTTCTGCAATTGTTTACTCATTGTGTCTTCCATGTGTATCACTCTGGAAGCGATCGTGCGGGAAAAATAGCGATCGGAATCATTCGAGTTTTTAAGTAAAAGGTTCAAACGGTAAGTGCGAATGTGAACTTCTCTGCGATTTGGTAAGCTGTGTTCTGATTGGTCAGTCCAAAGGGTAGCTGACGCGACCTTCTACTTAGGTTTTGTTAGACTCAGTATTTATAGCAGTGTAACGAATAATACTGAGCCTATGTTTACTTAGACTGGCATATTTCCATGTTTTCAGAAACCAAACCAATAAATAACATTGTTTTTGGACAAGAAAAATGTAATTTTCTCTGACTAAAATTGATATTATACTTATCCTGATTCATGCTAATTATGCTTGTCTCCTTCCCTCTTGCGAATGATAGAGGAAGACTTGAAGTCCTTTGCAGTTCCCTTTATAAAAGGGGAGCAAAGGGACGCTTACTCTTTGGGTGAGTCCGCTTTTTAAAGGGAACTTCAAGGGATTTCAAGTGTTCCACTATCATTTGCAAGAGGAAGGAGACAAGCATAATTAGCATGAGTCAGGATAAGGAAAAATGTTTACTATCACAACAAATCAAAACTACAGACCTTTGTGGTTCTTGAGATGAGACAAGTAGGCACATTATAAACACACAAGAAGGCAGAAACAACTTTTCATATTTGATTTGTCGGTGGATAATAGTTGAAAAATGACTAATCCTGTGGCTCAGAATCAGCCAGGTTACATATTGTAGTCTCCTGGCCAACAAGCAGCAGCTACAAGGGACATATGGATACCACGAGGTAAAACTGAGCTACACCACACGAAAAGTCTCTTTGCCTCATACTAACCAAAAACATATGTTCACTAAAACAAACATAGCAATATACCTGGCAAAACTATCCACGAGAGTCATCCACTTTTATCAAAAAGGTCAGTGGAAGTGATGACGACCCACCTTGGCGGCCACATGCAGGGGAGTACACTGAGTTGTGGATGTCCTGGTGTCTACAGACATGTGAAAGGTGTCCAGAAGAAAGTCAAGGGCCCCCAGCTGCCCTGCCTCCGACACCAGGTGCACGAGTTGACGGCCCAGCTTGTCCTCTTTCGCCACATCAGCCTGCAGCAGCAACAGCTTCACATACACCTCTGTACACCAGCAACACCATCACATGCACCACAGAATATCAGGAACAATACATACACCATTGCACAGATTCAACCTTGTCCCACACACAATAACATCAACTCTCAAAGTATGACAAAGTCATCACTATTTCTGTTTTCTAACACCGACAAGTTTAACACTCTACCTGATTTACTTAGATGTACGTCTGGCTAAGATAATTAGATAACTGGAATATCACCGATGAAAACATTATTTATGATTATTGATATGAAATTGAGTTTTTGATAATATTATACATTTTACTTTCATGATAGAAAAAAGTTTAAGTTCAAATTTTCTCACACAATATACAAAGTTCGGATTTTATTCATGGTCTGCTTCTAAATTCTATTTTCAGGATGCTGTTTTGTTAATAATCCATGCAAAAACATGTCAACTCTCACCAGTCATGCGTGAAACATATTCATTTCTTACTGACATTTATTACATTTTGCTCAAAGTTATATCTCAGATATTTTATAGATAATCGACCGACATTTAGTTAACAATTATCAATCTCCATGATATATATCGATAGTCAACACTCACTTAGCTGTAGATAATAAGAATGCATTTCTTTTCTCTCCGAAAAAAGTTCAAACATGTTTCCACCCATTACACTGTCAACACCTGGAACAACTGGAAATCATTTAGCTATGGGAAATGCAAGCTTTGTATGGGTACTGTTTGATATTCCAGCTACATGACAACAGCCAGGAAACAATCAAGTCTGGACCAGCATTGACCAAGGCAATTAGGACACAATGACATGCATCAACACAACAATGAGCCTGACCAATCTGATCTGATAGTCTGTGGGTGTCACTGTGACCTACCTTGTGTAAGTTTAGGACACAATGACATGCATCAACACAACAATGAGCCTGACCACCCTGATCTGATAGTCTGTGGGTATCACTGTGACGCACCTTGTGTAAGTTAGGACACAATGACATGCATCAACACAAACAAGGAGCCTGACCCACCTGATCTGATAGTCTGTGGGTATCACTGTGACGTACCCTTGTGTAAGTTTAGGACACAATGACATGCATCAACACAACAATGAGCCTGACCAATTCTGATCTGATAGTTCGTGGGTGTCAGGACACAAATGACATGCATGATTTCAATTCCGGTCTGATAGTTCAGGGTATCACCCTTTGTGTAAGTTAGGACACAATGACATGCATCAACACAACAATGAGCCTGACCACCTGATCTGATAGTCTGTGGGTGTCACTGTGACCTACCTTGTGTAAGTTTAGGACACAATGACATGCATCAACACAACAATGAGCCTGACCACCCAATCTGATAGTCTGTGGGTATCACTGTGACCTACCTTGTGTGAAGTTTAGGACACAATGACATGCATCAACACAACAATGAGCCTGACCACCCTGATGACCACCCAATCTGATAGTTCTGTGGGTATCACTGTGACCTACCTTGTGTAAGTTTAGGACACAATGACATGCATCAACACAACAATGAGCCTGACCACCCCTGATCTGTCATGATGGTTGTGCAAGGTATCACTGTGACCTACCGGTCTGTGTCAAGTTAGGACACCTTGTGTAATGACATGCATCAACACAACAATGAGCCTGACCACCCGGTCTGATAGTCTGTCAGGGTATCACTGTGACGTACCTTGTGTAAGTTTAGGACACAATGACATGCATCAACACAAACAAGGAGCCTGACCACCTGATCTGATAGTCTGTGGGTGTCACTGTGACCCACCTTGTGTAAGTTTAGGACACAAATGACATGCATCAACACAACAATGAGCCTGACCACTCGATCTGATAGTCTGTGGGTGTCACTGTGACCTACCTTGTGTAAGTTTAGGACACAATGACATGCATCAACACAACAATGAGCCTGACCACCCGATCTGATAGTCTGTGGGTATCACTGTGACGTACCTTGTGTAAGTTTAGGACACAATGACATGCATCAACACAACAATGAGCCTGATCTGATAGTCTGTGGGTGTCACTGTGACCTACCTTGTGTAAGTTTAGGGACACAATGACATGCATCAACACAACAATGAGCCTGACCACCCGATCTGATAGTCTGTGGGTATCACTGTGACCTTCTTTGTGTAAGTTTAGGACACAATGACATGCATCAACAAAACAATGAGCCTGACCACCCGATCTGATAGTCTGTGGGTATCACTGTGACGTACCTTGTGTGTAAGTTTAGGACACAATGACATGCATCAACACAACAATGAGCCTGACCACCTGATCTGATAGTCTGTGGGTGTCACTGTGACCACCCGATCTGATAATCTGTCAGGGTGTCACTGTGACCACCCGATCTGATAATCTGTGGGTGTCACTGTGACGTACCTTGTGTAAGTAAGTTTAGCAGAATTTGTGCTGTGTCAACATGTCCTGCTCTCAGTGCATCCATCAACGGTGTTGTACCGCAGCTGTCAACCATGTCACATGGGTAGTCACATGACTCAACAAGGAACCGAACAACATCGGTACAGCCATTGAGTGCTGGAACACACAATTTCACAGTAACCAGAGGGAGATTGAAACACTGGGAAACAAGGCAAAGTTTTAAATAATAATCTCTCTAAATAGCATTGTATGTATACCTGCTGTGTGAAGAGGTGTTCTTCCGTTCTTGCTCACAGTGTTCCACAGCTGAGCATCATGGTGAAGCAATAGTTGAAGAATCTCCACACTCCCTTCCCTGGAGAATACAACACAGCAAATACCATCTTTACACTCCCGCATACCAGGAGAATACAACACATGATATATGATCTCCACACTCCCTTCCCTGGAGAATACAACACAGCAAATACCATCTTTACACTCCCGTACCAGGAGAATACAACACATGATATATCATCTCCACACTCCCTTCCCTGGAGAATACAACACAGCAAATACCATCTTTACATTCCCCTTCCTCAGGAGAATACAACACATGATATATCATCTCCACACTCCCTTCCCTGGAGAATACAACACAGCAAATAGCCATCTTTACACGCCCCTGCACCAGGAGAATACAACACATGATATATCATCTCCACACTCCCTCCCCTGAGAATACAACACAGCAAATACCATCTTTACATTCCCTGCACTCAGGAGAGAATACAACACATGATATATCATCTCCACACACCCTTCCCTGGAGAATACAACACAGCAAATACCATCTTTACATTCCCGCACTCAGGAGAATACAACACATGATATATCATCTCCACACTCCCTTCCCTGAGAATACAACACAGCAAATACCATCTTTACATTCCCGCACTCAGGAGAATACAACACATGATATATCATCTCCACACTCCCTTCCCCTGAGAATACAACACAGCAAATACCATCTTTACATTCCCGCATACCAGGAGAATACAACACATGATATATCATCTCCACACTCCCTTCCCTGGTGAATACAACACATGATATATCATCTCCACACTCCCTTCCCTGGGAGAATACAACACAGCAAATACCATCTTTACATTCCCTACACTCAGGAGAATACAACACATGATATATCATCTCCACACCCTTCCCTGGTGAATACAACACATGATATATGATCTCCACTCCCTCCCCCTGGAGAGAATACAACACAGCAAATACCATCTTTACATTCCCTGCACTCAGGAGAATACAACACATGATATATCATCTCCACACTCCCTTCCCTGGAGAATACAACACATGATATATCATCTCCACACTCCCTTCCCTGGTGAATACAACACATGATATATCATCTCCACACTCCCTTCCATGGTGAATACAACACATGATATATCATCTCCACACTCCCTTCCCTGGAGAATACAACACAGCAAATATGCATCTTTACATCTCTTCCATTACCCAGGAGAATACAACACATGATATATCATCTCCACACTCCCTTCCCTGGAGAATACAACACATGATATATCATCTCCACACTCCCTTCCCTGGTGAATACAAACACATGATATATCATCTCCACACTCCCTTCCCTGGAGAATACAACACATGATATATCATCTCCACCTCCCTTCCCTGGAGAATACAACACATGATATATCATCTCCACACTCCCTTCCATGGTGAATAATACAACACATGATATATCATCTCCACACTCCCTTCCCTGGTGAATACAACACATGATATATCATCTCCACACTCCCTTCCTGGAGAATACAACACAGTAAATACCATCTTTACATTCCCTTGCCAGGAGAATACAACACATGATATATCATCTCCACACTCCCTTCCCTGGTGAATACAACACATGATATATGATCTCCACACTCCCTTCCCTGGAGAATACAACACAGCAAATACCATCTTTACATTCCCTTGCCAGGAGAATACAACACATGATATATCATCTCCACACTCCCTTCCCTGGAGAATACAACACAAGATATATGATCTCCACACTCCCTTCCCTGGTGAATACAACACAGGATATATGATCTCCACACTCCCTTCCCTGGTGAATACAACACAAGATATATGATCTCCACACTCCCTTCCCTGGAGAATACAACACATGATATATCATCTCCACACTCCCTTCCATGGGTGAATACAACACATGATATATCATCTCCACACTCCCTTCCCTGGAGAATACAACACATGATATATCATCTCCACACTCCCTTCCTGGAGAATACAACACAGCAAATACCATCTTTACATTCCTCCCATTCAGGAGAATACAAATACATGATATATCATCTCCACACTCCCTTTCCCTGGTGAATACAACACATGATATATCATCTCCACACTCCCTTCCCTGAGAATACAACACAGCAAATACCATCTTTACATTCCCTGCACCAGGAGAAATACAACACATGATATATCATCTCCACACTCCTTCCCTGGAGAATACAACACAGCAAATACCATCTTTACATTCCATTACCAGGAGAATACAACACATGATATATCATCTCCACACTCCCTTCCCTGGAGAATACAACACAGCAAATACCATCTTTACATTCCCGTACCAGGAGAGATACAACACATGATATATCATCTCCACACTCCCTTCCCTGGAGAATACAACACAGCAAATACCATCTTTACATTCCTGCACCAGGAGAATACAACACATGATATATCATCTCCACACTCCTTCCCTGGTGAATACAACACATGATATATCATCTCCACACTCCCTTCCTGGAGAATACAACACAGCAAATACCATCTTTACATTCCCGCACTCAGGAGAATACAACACATGATATATCATCTCCACACTTTTCCCTGGAGAATACAACACAGCAAATACCATCTTTACATTCCCTGCACCAGGAGAATACAACACATGATATATCATCTCCACACCCTTTCCTGAGAATACAACACAGCAAATACCATCTTTACATTCCCGTACCAGGAGAATACAACACATGATATATCATCTCCACACTCCCTTCCCTGGAGAATACAACACAGCAAATACCATCTTTACACTCCCGTACCAGGAGAATACAACACATGATATATCATCTCCACACTCCCTTCCCTGGAGAATACAACACAGCAAATACCATCTTTACATTCCCGTACCAGGAGAATACAACACATGATATATCATCTCCACACTCCCTTCCCTGGAGAATACAACACAGCAAATACCATCTTTACATTCCCTTGCCAGGAGAATACAACACATGATATATCATCTCCACACTCCCTTCCATGGAGAATACAACACAGCAAATACCATCTTTACATTCCCGCATTACCAGGAGAATACAACACATGATATATCATCTCCACACTCCCTTCCCTGGAGAATACAACACAGCAAATACCATCTTTACACTCCGCACCAGGAGAATACAACACATGATATATCATCTCCACACTCCCTTCCCTGGAGAATACAACACAGCAAATACCATCTTTACATTCCCTTACCAGGAGAATACAACACATGATATATCATCTCCACCACACTCCCTGAGAATACAACACAGCAAATACCATCTTTACATTCCCCTTGCCAGGAGAATACAACACATGATATATCATCTCCACACTCCTTCCTGAGAATACACAGCTTCCAGCAAATACCATCTTTACATTCCCATTACCAGGAGAATACAACACATGATATATCATCTCACACTCCCTTCCCTGAGAATACAACACACAAATACCCTTTACATCCCTGCCAGGAGAATACAACACATGATATATCATCTCCACACATCCTTCCCTGGAGAATACAACACAGCAAATACCATCTTTACATTCCCTTGCATTCAGGAGAATACAACACATGATATATCATCTCCACACTCCCTTCCCTGAGAATACAACACAGCAAATACCATCTTTACATTCCCTGCCAGGAGAATACAACACATGATATATCATCTCCACACTCCCTTCCTGGAGAATACAAACACAGCAAATACCATCTTTACATTCCCTGCCAGGAGAATACAACACATGATATATCATCTCCACACTCCCTTCCCTGAGAATACAACACAGCAAATACCATCTTTACATTCCCTGCCAGGAGAATACAACACAAGATATATCATCTCCACATTCCCTTCCCTGGAGAATACAACACAGCAAATACCATCTTTACATTCCCGTACCAGGAGAATACAACACAGGATATATCATCTCCACATTCCCTTCCTGGAGAATACAACACAGCAAATACCATCTTTACATTCCCTTGCCAGGAGAATACAACACATGATATATCATCTCCACACTCCCTTCCCTGGTGAATACAACACAGGATATATGATCTCCACACTCCCTTCCCTGGAGAATACAACACAGGATATATCATCTCCACGCTCCCTTCCCTGGTGAATGCAACACAAGATATATGATCTCCACACGCCCTTCCCTGAGAATACAACACAAGATATATGATCTCCACACTCCCTTCCCTGGTGAATACAACACAAGATATATGATCTCCACACGCCCTTCCCTGGTGAATACAACACAAGATATATGATCTCCACACTCCCTTCCCTGGAGAATACAACACAAGATATATCATCTCCACACTCCCTTCCCTGGAGAATACAACACAAGATATATGATCTCCACACACCCTTCCCTGGTGCATACAACACAAAAATATATGATCTCCACACTCCCTTCCCTTGAGATACAATTCATGACACACACAATTCACTCTCTCAAACCATACCTTTTAATGATACACAGCAGAATCAGCACTGGGTATAAATGACTAACAGCACAAATATACTCATGATTAAGACAACAGAGCAATTTAAACAGTGGACTGTTCCAACTAGGGTGTTTGACGTTTAGGTGTTCAGAACGTTCAATCCAAACACTTGAAACAGTGGCATCACATATTTTATATATTTTTCAATGAAAGCACATATCCCCGTAATAATGGCCCAAATGTCATTATAAAGCCTTTCCTATGGTACTAGTGACAGACGAATGTCATTTGAAAGACTTTCTATGGTACTAGTGACAGACAAACGTCAATTGAAAGACTTTCCTATGGTACTAGTGACAGACAAAGGTCATTTGAAAGACTTTCTATGGTACTAGTGACAGACAAATGTCATTTGAAAGATTTTCTATGGTACTAGTGACAGACAAATGTCATTTGAAAGACTTTCTATGGTACTAGTGACAGACAAACGTCATTTGAAAGACTTCCCTATGGTACTAGTGACAGACAAAGGTCATTTGAAAGCCCTGTAATCATGGTACCTTGCTGCAATGTGAAAGGAGTTCCATCCATCCTTGTTCCTCAATGCAGGATCAGCTCCCTTTTCCAACAATGCTCGGATAACTTCAGGATTTGTCTTTGTGCATGCCAGCATCAGAGGTGTCCTTCCATGTAAAACAAATAGATTTAAAAACACATGAAAACCAATAGTACAAAAGAATGCAGACTGAAGTGAGAGTACATATCATAAAACAGGGTGTCACCAAAGTAGATATAGTGATGTGATTACTCTACTAAGTACAGTGAAGTAAGGAGTCTAACAGAAGCCCTCCAATAGTTTTCAACTGAAGCTCATCCTCCAGTTGTTTGATTGTCTTACTACAGATGGTTATGTTTATGTCATCATCTATTATAGATTTTGGTTTTCGTACGCAGCAGAGCATCTTTACAAAGAAGAAACACTATAATGTACACATTTTATTTGAGAGTGTAATTTTAAATGCACATGACTGCATAAAAAGAAGCTCTCATAATTTTTTTTTACTCATACACACACTCAAAAAAACGACCCTCCAGGATCTGTGGAAGTGCATATTAGGTTGACATTAGTTTAGTACATATTTTGAAAATTTGTTTTAAGCTGGATATTGTCTGAAAATAATGTAGAGCTCATTCTGAGCCTGATGCAAAATATCTGTGACATTTCAGACCATATCCTACACTAAGACAAATAATGCTAAAACATTATAACAATTAACATAACTCACATCTTGCTCTGTGTATTATTATCTACCAGTAACAATATGGTAAGATTTAACAACTATTTGGACTGCATGACAGTTATGTATTCGGTCACTATTATCAACAGATAAATGGTGACTGTTTATATACCACATGAGTACATTGACATTGTTGACTGTACTTATGCCAACAGAGAACCAAAAGAGAAGTGAATAACTCACGTTGACTCATGATACTAGGACCCAGATGAGTCAAATTTATAGCCGGCATCGTTCCAAATGTCCCAAGCAAACCTTAGAAAAGAATCACTACTCATGTTTCCGCTTACCAATCAGCTCTTTTAAGACAATCAACAGTGGTGCCATAATCTAACAAATATTTGACAATATCAATTTGTCCAGTTTGGGCAGCTTCGTGAAGTGGTCTTTTGCCGTCCAAATTAACAATTTCTGGGTTGCCACCTCTCTCCAGAAGTAAATGAACCAGGTTCAAGTGACCATATCTTGAAGCAATGTGCAGAACCGAATCTCCCGATTTTTCATGTTTGTAACACATATAAGTGTCCGCATCATCATTAAGCCTGAAAAAGTTTTCATCATTAGTTTGTGCAGCTTTGTAAATATGAGACATTTGTTTAGAGTTATCTTTTCTTGTTCTACTTATCGCATATGTCATGCAAAATAGAAATATGTTGACACCACTTTACAAATTATGACGCTTGAAAATATTGCAGTTATCAATAATTATCTTGTCAATTGATTACCAGGATATTTTTAGAAATATTATAAGCAGAATGAATGTTTATGTTTGCAGATGCGGTAGGGGTTACCACTAAGTAAAGATGGCTGAAAATGGCTCGGAGAAGAAATAAGAGCAGAACGTTTAATGTGTCCAGTGGTAATAACATCAGAAAACATCGAGGGCTCAAGATCAGTCACCGACACAGAATCACAGGAAAACAGGCTCAGTCGAACTTACTTGGAGACAGGGAACAGTACTTGTAGTGAACAAAGCTGTGTCGTGAAAGGACCCCAAGAGTCTTGCCCAAGGCCAAATGAAACAGAAAGTAGAAAACCAGTCGACTGTCTTTCCGGATATCATCAGTCTCCTGAAGCTCAGGCGACAGATGAAAAATAGTCGTAGCACCAGCGTAGGGGCTTATCCTAATACGCGAAAAGAAAAATCCACCTGTCTACTGCAGACTGTCTTTCGCTGACACAATCGTCAAAAGCTCTTTCTAAACCATTCGAAATTCCTAAAAAAGTAATAAGGATCCAAATAGAGGCCTACAACCTAGATTTAGGAAGAAATCAAAAGTGTCTGCCACTCAAATGACATTAAAAATATCAAACCTGACATCAAACATGTAGAAGAAGGTGGTTGCAGTTTCCCAAGCGAAAATGTTAGTGAATCAACAGCACACTCTCCTGTCAAGAAAGGCCTGTTTGTCAACAGTAGCTTTGAACATTCTGACGACAACTCTGTCATATCATCTTTAGGATCCTCACCTCAGCAATTAGGATTTGCAAAGGCTTCCAGTTTAATATCCAGTCAACCAATTAAGACTGAAGTAATAAGAGACCAGAAAACACATCAAGGCTTATTCTCGTCTAGTCAACCTAGCAGTAACTTTACAGCAGCATCTAGTTTACTTGGACTAACAGCATCCCAGTTGGAGACAGGGGGTTTCAGTCATCAAAAGGAGCTGTGAACAGTATATACAAAAGGAGAAACAGTAAATTGCAAGCGTGCAAAGGACAGTGCAGGACCAAATCAGAAGAATATTTCAAGCTTCTTCACCAAAACAAAAGTTCACTCAACGTCACCAGTAAAGATTAAGATGGAGACACGTAACAATATTGAGGAGGAGAATGAAGAGTTTGTTCCGCTAACAAACAGAAGCCCATCAAAGATGTATTCTCCAATCAAACAGATGTCAGGTGCTATCTACATCAATGATGACAGCAGCAGTCCACAGTCATCACAGTCAGATAATTATGGACAATCTACAAAACATAAGTTTCAGGAGAATACTTTTGTAAAAAACTATTTGATGGTCAAAAGCTCTGGCAGCAGGACAGCCATTACCAAAGAAAAGAAGAACAGATAGTGAGTCGTACTCCTCAGTCCACTGTATCAGTGTGCTTGACCAATGCCAAACCAAACACATCATTCTCAACTTTTAGTAGCAAAGATAGTAGGCAAACAACAGAGACGATATACAAGCAAACATATGGGCTGCTTGGAGAGGGTTCTGGATCAGCATTTGCAGATGTAAATTTGCAAAATAAAACTAACTATTTTGAAGTTCTGCCCATTGATTTGATAGAACACATATTCTGCCAACTCCCAATTCTTGATTTGTGCCTGAACAGCAACAGAGTGTGCCAACAGTGGAATGACATTATTTCGATAGAAAGGTATGTGACTTGGTGCTAACCAAACATGAAGTTCCTTGCACTTAGTTGCAGCATTTACTTTTATGAACAATACTGTAGGTGGTAAGGATAAAGTTACTATCTTATTTTATAGTATTCCAGAAACAGCTTCATAATTAACGAGTAAACATGGTACAAGTTATCATGGTAATCATGGTAATATGTTGGAAAAAAGACCTTGGTGCTGTTGTACAAAACAACCATAGTGCTAAGACTGTTGTAAATCTAAGACTGTTGTAAATCTAAGACTGTTGTAAATCTAAGACTGTTGTAAATCTATGTTAATGTATGAACTAGGATGGTTACAGTAATCCTCGTGTCAGGATTGCGTTATACAATGGCACCCAGTTAAAATTGTTTGCATTAAACCCTTTAGAATTAGTGAAATGAGTAAACCTATTTTATAAACAGTCTCATCTTTCCTGTGTTCTATCACATTTTCTTCAGTTGATCAAGATAATGATTACTGAAATATCATGGTGAGTTTGAATATGTTATGTTATGTTATTGAGCAAAGGCACAGATATAACTGTCTTCATTACATTCAATAACTGTCACTAAACTAGTAATTCAGATTAAGAACATATAATCAGAATAATTAACATAATAAGTATTATTTTTCCTTATCCTGACTCATGTTTATTTGCTTGTCTTCTTCTTCTGGCGAACCTAGTGGAACACTTGTATCTCCCAATTGAAGTTCCCTTCAATAAAAAATCACTCATTAGTACTGACCACGAGTTACCTCCCTTCCACAAGCGCGGGAACGAGGGCGCCACCTGAACCCATGTGCCTCACTCTCTCCTTCTTCGCCCAGTGAGCAAGACGTGAGAGCACCTGTGTCTCCCTGCACACTATATCCTTTATTTATATTTAGTTTGTTACCTCTTATATTCATCTATAGAGGTGTAACTAGTATCATTATTCAACATGCATTGATAATTATTCGTGTTTCTGCTGCTTGATTCACGGTTCGCCGTGTTTGCTCAGCAGTTTGTGTTAATAAAAAATCGGCACTGTTTGTAAATTACGTTACTCTGCTACCGATCCACAATTAAAATGCCCTAGTTGCATTACTCCATGTTCTATTGTTTCTCGTTGTAAATTATGTATTAATTTACCAATTTCTGCCTTTGATAAATATTTATGTTCCGTTTTGAGACGGAAGGCAGATAAATCTCGGAAACAATCTTCAGTCATGGCTAATAGAGTCAGATATATCCTGAGTTACCTTCGGGGATAAGCGTGGGGACGCAGTCCGCTATATCTAGAAGCGACCTGCTTCCCAGGACGTTCCTTCATCACAGTCTAAAACTAGAAGAACTTCCACGTCGTCTCAACGTATGCTCCGAGCCCCCAGGTCTACAGCCTCGTCAAAGGGAAATCCACGAAGACTACTAAAAAACTTTGCTTCTGATATTCAGAATTATGTTTATATGATGATGACATTTCGATTATCATTCCAGATGTATGTCATAAGAAGTGACCAGTACGGCTACCGTCACTTCAGCGCAGATCAACATGCAATCAGAGATGCCTACGCTGACGCCGGAGATTATAACTGAGGGTCCCGTCACTATCACAGAGAGGACACCCTCAACGCCAGCGCAGACCATCCCAGACGACCTGGTCAACCAAATCATGAGGCTGATGGAAGACCGTTACGGCTTACAGAGGCCTCAGAGCCACGGGCCCCAGAGCCCACCCCATACTAAGTCATACAGGGCCCAAGAGCCCCTGAACCCATAGACGCGCCTCCGCGAAGGGCAACCCTGCCCGGAGTGAGCTCTTTGCATAAGGTATCCCAGGCCGCCTCCGAGGAGGAGCTAGAGCCTGACCCTTTGCAAGAGGCTTCGCGGAGAAGGAGCGCTTCGCCTAGCACGCACCTTGTCATGTACGAAGGGCGTTCGCAAAGCAAGCACTCATATGTCGGATCGGACACTGACTCCAGACATTCGCGCAAGACGCGAAGGCTAAGTGGTTCTACAACGCCTAGGAGGCGTTCGCGTAGCCCTCAACGTTCGAGAAGTCCAGAGCGTCTGCGAAGCCATCACCGTTCTCGAAGCCCACAGTTTCCACGAAGGATGTCTTCTCCAAGGTCTACATACACTCAGCCAATCGTCAGTCCGTTCTCCTCAGTCCTCACATAGATCTTCTTACAGATCGAGGTCTCCGACACATCACGACCATACGTCAGAGAAGGCGATGGTATCATTTAAGATCGGACTCTAGACACTTCGCTAAGGAAGTCCCAGGCCGCCTCCGCGAAGGAGCTAGAGCCTCACCAGTTGAGAGGGACATCGCGGAGAAGGAGCGCTTCGCCGAGCCCACACCCTGTAGAACACAGAGGTCGTTCGCGAAGCAAGCGCTCATATATTGATCGGACCCTGACTCGATACTTTCGCGAAGGTCGCGAAGGCTAAGTGGCTCCAAGTCTACTTCACCCAGAAGATCTAGAAGCGTTACTTCGAGATCTTCGCGGCGAAGTCTGGCGTTCGCCGAGGAAGTCTCCTCAAGGTCTCCATATACTAGCCACTCGTCATATATAGCCACTCGTCAGTCCGTTCAAGACATCACATGAGTTGTTTATCAACTGTAAGCCATATGCCGTCTACAAGCCTCGCACGAAGACAATTGCACAGGCTATTTACAACACACAACGTCGCTGTATTAATTTATCAGCGGATGAAGAGCCTAATTAGGGATCTTCAAGCCGACTACCTACTACGATACGATTATCTACATGCATGACCATTACGCAGGATCTGCGAGACAATTCTAAACGGAATTGAACAGCAGTCTTGTTACAGCGAGTAAAACTCATAATCGTCAGCGATTTCCTCAGAAGTAATATGTACAACAAGTTCAGCTTTAACAGTCTACAAGCTGACAACTTGCAGGGTTTTGAACCTTATATAAGGAAGTCGGAATTATCTTCAAGACTGAAGTTACTTTCACGACAGCCTGGAAAATAACTTACCCAGCATTAATATTACAGAGCGAGGTATTTCAAGCGCGGAGGTTTTAAGCGTTTACCATCAACCCTCGAAACGCGTGGTCACCGGGTAACCGGGGAGGTTACGGTGAAGACCGACGATTGTTCTAATATCAACGACGGCACTATATTATACAAGGTTCCTTTCCTGATACACCGGTGGCGTCACAGCTTGGGTACTCTACAGAATCAAAATG